TTGCGAGTTTACACTATAAAAAGCCCTACCCAATGCAACCCCAATTAACCAAAGCTCTCAATTAAGGGTTGCTTCTATCTCCTGTGGCTGGTATCTAAAACCCCCAAGGTGCACAGACGGAAGGCAGTCAGTCGGTAGCAAGAGAGAGCAGTCTGCACGGTTGTCCCAAGACATTCAAGAGTAGACCAGAAAGGAGGTACAGGGTCTCTGGCAGCTGAGACATAGGGAAGGCACCAGCACAAATCAGCAGTGCCACAAGTACTGATTAACACATAATTAAAAATAAAGAGTAGCCATTAGTTTGAGTAAAATACAATTATGCCTATTTAACAACCAAGAAAAACAGAAGCCAGAACTTAAGCCACTTGTCTGAAGAGTGCAGCACAGCTGTTAAGGAGAGCAGACTCAACCTAGGATGTCTGGGCTGGGATCCCGGTTTGGTTATTTGCTCAGCTGTTTTACACTGGGCAATTTCCTTAACGTAAGTGCCTCAGTTGTCTCACCTGTAAAATAGGGATATTATAGTACTGACTTCAGAAGGTGGTTGTGAGGACTGAATCAGTTAATCGGTATAGAGACTTTAGAATAGCACCTGGCACACAGCAATCAGTAGGTTTTAGCTCTTAGGAGGGTCAAACTGAGACTAAGACCTCTGACCCCAAGTCAAAACCGTGTTCTATTCTATCCCGTTAATTTCCAGGGCCCCTAATGTGTCCTTTTATTTATGTTAGGAGAGGCAAAGATCACCATCCAGGTCTCGGCCTTTATCTGGGGGATCTCTAAACTCTGAGGTCCCAAGCTACAGGAGAGAATTCAGAGTTGCTTTCTAGAGGCCTGGGCAGCGGGTGGCCCAGCTCTGAGCCTAAGCTTTCCCTAGGCACTCAACAGACTGGTGGGAGTCTGCCAATCCACCACTAAGGCCCTATCTCTCTCCCCACACTAGCTCCTCCCTCAGCTCACTGAAGTCTACTTCCTTCCCTGCTTCCCCATGTCTCTACACTCCCAGAGAGAGCCTCTACTGTTATCTAGGATACCCACCACTCAGGAGTGACCCTGAGTTGTTGTCAACTGGGCATGCTGTGTCTTCTGCATGCCTCATGGAGGAACCTTTGCATAGCCTCTTCTAACACAGTGCCTGGCTCTCAATCACCACTGGGCATCGGTACACACACAAAACTACCCCCCCGGGCCGAAATTCCCACCCATGTCAAGCCACCTAAAGGTATTGTGAGTACAGCAAACATCAAATAACTGTAAAGCATAACTAGTGCCCTAGCAGGCTGGGATAAGCTCAATTCCCAGCATTTCCAAATTTCTAAATATTCAGTTTTATGAGCCTTGAGAGCTTGTCCTGGATTTTTTTTTTTTTGTGCTTACTTGCTATTTGTCAGAAGGACCAGCATGCGTTAGCAAGAGCACCAGCACCAGAATTTCCGAGTGTGACAGTGACCTCAGGGTTCCTGCTGTCTTCCAAATGGCAGTAATCTTGAACTTAGTTTTAGGTGTATTCAGGACAGGGTCCTTTAGCAATGGAAACAAGGGGATAAAAGCAAACTGTTGGTGCCTTAACTCCTCTTTTTTGTGAAAAGTACTTAAAAATTAAGACATCAACCAAATAATTTATAGGATTGTTAATCTGGTTTAAAAAAGCCTGGGAGGCTGGTTTGAATATTACCACTAACTCATTTGGGGCAAATTCTGTCCCTTTTCTGGGCTTTAGTTTCCTCCCCTGTGAAAAAGGAGGCCAGATCAGTTATCTAAGACGGCTACTGACTCTCTGAAACTTCTTTTCTTTACACAATGCTCTGGGTAGGACTTGTCTGGCCTTTGTTCAGAGAAAGGAGGGACATAAGACATAGAAGTTTATTAAACGAAGTTGGATGAGACCAAGAACTACATTAGTCCCCTCCCCTTTTTGATATAGGGTTATTTCTATGTCAAATAATTTCTTAAGACTATAGAAACACCCTCTGAGTAGTATTCACTAGAGTTGATACTGAAGGGGGAAAAAAAACTATTCTCTATTTGGCCCACCTGTGAAATAAATTCCACTTTCTCTCTTCTCTACCTATCCACACAGTCCTAGGCAACCTTCTTTCAAGCCCACCTTCTCTGCTAACTCCTGGCTAACTCCTGATTATCATTCCTGTTAATTCTGTACAACAAGCTGTACAAAGCCCTTGTTAATAAGCCAACTTGCCTTTTCCTCCTGTGACCTTGATGAGCACTGAAGTCTTCTACAGGTCCTCAAACTTTTCAAATTAAGTTCCTTTGAGGCAAAGAGTGTTTTTTCTTCCCCCCTGCAAATATCACTACAGGGACTCAGTAAAAGTTATGTGGATTTAATTCAGTTGAGACTTTAAGGCAGATTAACACTTTTTGGTCTATTTCAGAATTATTCTTATTTGTACTTGTCTAGGCAAAAGGTGATTGCAAAGGACTTTCTGTCTAATGATAAAACTGAACTAGATTATCTCTAAAATTCCTTCCAGCTCTGACATTTCGGAATGATATCAGTATGCTGTAAACCCAGTGCCCCAGGGCAGATTAAGACTGCTAAATTTTGGAAGCTGAAGTCAGGAAAACTTAACCTAGAGTGGGTCATTCTTCTCCACTTTAATATTAAAAGCAAAAAGCAAATGCCTATTTACTCTTTGCTAAATTAACACGACTTGTAAATCTAAACATCAGTTTCATAAGCCGAGGCGATGTGCATTTTCTATATTGCTCTGAGCCCAGAACACTACCTAACCCATGGTAGAGGCTCAAATATTTTGAAGACTGAACAACTGAAAGGGACATATTAAGTATGTGATCTAAAGCAAAATACTTCATTTCTCTAGGCCTCAGTTTTAGCTCACAAAGGGAGGAAGAAAATACCAGTGTTTCCGTCAATTTGGGGTTGCTGACAATACAGGCAATAGGATGTGTTCCATGGTCAAACAAGTTTGGGAAACCTGAACAAGAATACTGTGACTCTCAAAAGGGATGATGGTGGAAGAGAATTAGAGATGTAGCCTGAACTTACTGTGGCAGTGAATTCCTCCTTCTCTGGAACACTTATCGACATTCCCAGGCTGTGCAACAAACCTATGACATAGGTACCCTTATCTTATGGATAAAGGAATGCTCTCTACAGGTTTTAAACAAACTTGTCCCATGTCTCATGCAGTCAGTTCAGACAAGCCACGACTGAAAGTGAGTCTAACCCCATAGTATCAACCACTATGCTGCCACTGTTTATTGTGGAGTTTTGACAAATTCTACATGTGAGAATTTGAAGAGCATTTATAAGTAGGGTGAAGAAGCAAAGACTTCAAACCCAGGCCAAAGTTTCAAGCCTGGCATCAATGAACCGAGGGAAGAAAGGGATCCTCTAGCAAAGCTAATTCCCACACCCCAAGGCAGTCGTGTAATATGGAAGAGTCCAGATCATTCACTAACCACAGCGGAGAAGACAGTGAGAATGGAAGAGAAGACCTTGTAGAAGACAGGTAAGCTAAAAGAACCTCCTGGAAAGTCTTTTCAAGACAACTATATTCACCCTGGGGAGAGGGGAGGCTTTTCAGAATGGATGAGGCAGGGATGGACAAAAAAGTGGAAGCCTGTTTTGACAAAGAACTCCAGCTGATACTGATCATGTCCCTCAATCCACAGTCAAACAACTGACTTGGACAGGGATTTCTCTTGGGATGGGCTTGCAGAGATCATCAAGTTGGGCAAAAGCTCCAAACAAAATGCACTATGCAACCCCACCCCAAATCCTACCCATTGTTAAAGGTCAGGTCTAGCCCATCCTTGGGGCAGGGAGGACACCATTGTGTCTGAAAGGATCTAGGCGTTGAATCAAGACAGATCTGGGTTCATATCACTTAAGCTATGGAAAATTGTAAGGAAACCAGGAGTACAACCCGACTTCCCTTACAAGCTGATTAACCTGCAACTTATTTATTCAACTCTAATCCTTACTTTCTCCATTTTATAGGAACAGGATTTGCTTTTAAAGTTATTACCTAAATTCACTTTTGTAAGACCATCTAGGAAATGGTTGGAACTCAGATTAGTAACCTCTCCCCCGAGGAAGTGTCCTCAGACCTTTCTAGCCCACTGGTCCTCTCCTCTCTGAACAAATCCCTGGCTACTTGTAGTCTGAACCAGACACGTGAGTACTGAGCACTCATGATGAACACACACCCTCTAAATGCAGTTAAAACCCTGAAATTAGGATTGGCCCTCCCACGACTGCAAAGCTCCCTTGCCTCACTGCGCCCCATCTTCCCTATAAGAAAAACCACTTTCAAGTCAGCCTCAGAGGATTAAAAAAAAGATTGACAATGTAAAACGGAGGAAAACATGTTAGATGTTGTCATGTGACAGCTCTAGGCCCACCTGGGGCGTTATTTTTCTGCATGCCCCAGAGGACTTAGCCAGAAAACTGCCAGTTTGCTTGAGTGCCTGGGATGAAGGGGCTGGGGTCTCAGAGGAAAAGGAAGACTAGGAAGCAAGAGTTTGGGGGGTGGAGCTGGAAGGTGTCAGGATATTTGGAACCAGACAGGGAGGGGGTGTGGGTGGGTCCAGTAAAGTTTTTTCTTTTTGTTTGCTTTGGGAGGGAAAGAGGAGAGGCCCTGGAGGGTGAGGGGGCTCTGCAGTTCTTCCACCAACTCTGAACCCAACCCCCTCCACTCCCGACCCGTCTTAAAAGTGCTAGACGTTTCATAATAATGGCTTACACTTATTGAGTACTTACTAAGATAATGGTTAGCACTTAACAAGCGCTTGGTATGAAAATACCAGCTAACGTTTGTGTCAGGGACTGATTCCGGGTTCTGAGAAGAGAGGAGGGCCCGAAAGCCCGGCCCCGGGAAGGAGGGTGTGTCTGGGCCCAGGGTGACAGGATCAGGACCGGGGCCTAGGGGTCCCGCGGTCAGTTTGGTCCGAGCCGTGCAGAGCAGGGGGTTCGGGCCTGCGTGGGGACCCTCCCCGACCCGCAGTGCTCCTACCTTTGAGCGAGGTCTCCACCAGGCGCAGGTAAAGCTGCGAGCTCTTGTTGCCGTGGCTCATGCGCTGGGCTAGACCGTTGCGCTGCAGGACGCACTCCTCAAACTGCACGACATTCTGGTGGCGCCGCTTGAGGCTGGTCAGGGCCCAGAATTCGGCCAGCGCCAGCTCCACGTTCTCGGGGGCGTCGCAGCGGATCTTCTTGACCGCCACCCGGGCCCCGCTGCGCCCGGCAACCGCCTCGTACACCACGCCGTAGCTGCCGCGCCCGATCTCCGCCAACAGGCTGTAGCGCGGCCGCGCAGACCCGCCGCCGCCCTCCGGCCGCCGCCGCGCCAGGTAGGCCTCGCCCGGGGCCTCGGCCGCCACCGGATCCATGGCTTGGGCCGCCGCCGGCCTCAGCTTCGCGCTGGGCGCCCGCGGCACTGGGCTTCGCCTTTTCCGCTCCGGGCTTTGTGTACCTCTGCGGGCGCCGTCCTCCTCCCCTGTTTCCATGGCTGCGGGCGGCGGGGGGAGCAGCAACGGCGCTGCCCGGGCCCCCCCTGCCTCATCCCTCCGTCCGGCCCTGGGACGCGGAGGAGCGGGACCTTGGTTTGTGACCTGCGGGCGAAAGAATCGGTTAAACGACCAGGCCGAGGCGAGGAGGCCAGGAGCGCAGCCGCAGGGCGTCCGACCTCCTCCTCCTCCTGCCGCAGCGGCCCCTTTAAGACGGAAGCCACCGCTGCTGACTGAACAGGGGAGGGGAGGGGAAAGCGGGCAAGAGGAAACCAAAGCGCAATGACTGAGAGGGGGAGCCGGAAAGAAAAGCAAAGTCTTCCCGCCTTCTTAGTTAATTTATCGTGTATGAATACGAAAAACAAGGACCAGCAGTCTTCGCGATTTACGAAAATCGCCTTAAAAGAGGCAATTCGGAGTGTGGAAGTCTTTTCCCTGCCTGGCCCCCTCTGGGATCCCCCTCCCCGCGTCCCGCCTTGTGTTCTCCCGGGTGTAAACAGTCCATTGAATTAAGCCTGAGCGGAGCCCAGCGGACCGACCCAAGTCCCCGAGGGCTGCGGGTGGAGGGGGTTGGCTTAAAAGTTGGGCGTCCCTGAGAGCGCCAAACCGGCGGCCCAACTGCCCTCCCCAAGCGCCCGAGGCGGCGGGGTAGCTCCAGTTTCGGCGCTTGGTTTTAGTCCGCGGACCGGGCCCTTACCTGGCCGGCGCCCCTCCACTTCCGGGCGGCCCGTTTCCCCCTCAGGGTCCCCGGCTGGGGATGGTCCGTTCCAGGCCTGGGCTGCCTCCCGCACCGAGCAGCGCGAGAGGCCGCGGCCCGGGCCGGGCGTGCAGCGGAGCCTGGTGCTGCTGCAGGCTCGGTGGTAGCGGCGCTCGCGGGCGAGAACCGGGCGTCCAGGCTCCCGCGGCTCTCCACGTGTTCGCGCCAGCTGAGCCCTTTACATAACCTTTTTATATAAGCCGAACCTCCCGCCGGCACTCGGGCCAGCGGGGGCTCCTGGTGGCCCATCCCCTGGGAGGCTGGTCGAGTACTGAGCCGCCCGAGTCCTGCCAAGGTCGACCGAGCAGCCGCAGCCGGGGCCCAATCACAGGCGAGAACGCCCAACCAACAAAAAATAGGCGCCAAATTCCCGCGATCCGCTGCGGCCTCCGGGTCTCCGCAGCCTCCTGCGCTCCACAACCTCCTCTCTCTTCGCCTGCGCTGCAAGAGGAACTGCACGCAGTAGGCGCCTAATAAATACTGATTGGTTGGTTTGATTGATTCATAGCTGATGCCTGGGAACCGCCCGAACTGGGTTGGAATCCACACCCTGCCTCCAATTAGCCCCTTGATCCTGGGCAAATCAGAGCCTGTTTCCTCTGCAGCAAAATGGGTAGACTGGGCCGTGCCTACCAGGGTTGATAGGACCAAATGAAATATAAATATAAAATTATGTAAAGTGGCTAACTGGGTGCAGGGCTGAGAGTTAGTGCTCAGTGTAAGCTCCATGTACGCATGGATTTTAGAATATTTTGTTCACTGCTTTGTACCCCAATGCCCATGTTTGTTAACTGAATCTACAGATATTTATTGAATTCCTGTAATGTGCTAGGCACTGTTCTAAGTCGCTGGGGAAGGAGCAGTGAACAAGACCATCTCTACCTTCGTTGAGGTTCTGTGCCGCTGGAGGAGACAAATCATATGGGTGACCTTGGGCAAATTAATTGACTTTCTTTTGTCTTCCTTCGTCATCTGTAAGATGGGAAGAACAGTAGGAGGATTCACTGAGGTTATACAGTTAAAGCACTTAGAACGGGATAGGGCCTTGCACACAATAAATGTTAAGTATTATTATTAAATAAACAAATACACAGGATAACTTGACAATAAGTGTGATGGAGATAAATAATAAGCTAAATAGTTCCTGGGGTTGGGACAGGCCACTTCTGATAGTGTGGTCACTGAAAGACTCTAACTTTTCTGTGTGTGTAAAATTTCAAATTTACATATAGATTGCAAGAATAGTAAAGAATTCTCATATGTTCAACCAGTATAGCAAATTGTTACATTTTGCTACATTTGCAGTATCATATTTATTCTCTGTGTGTATACATACACATATATATTATATATAATATGTATATACTTTTTTTCCTAAATCATTTTAGAGTAAGTTTCAGACATAATGCCCCTTTATTACTATATACGTCTGTGTGTATTTCCTAAGAAGAAGGACATTCTCTTGCATAATCTCAATATAATTATCAAAATCAGGAATTTTCATGATATGATTCCTTTTTTTTTTTTTTTTTGCGAGGAAGATTAGCCCTGAGCTAACGTCCCTGCCCATCTTCCTCTACTTTTTGTATGGGATGCTGCCACAGCATGGCTTGACAAGCAGTGTGTCGGTGCGTGCCCAGGATCGGAACCTGGGAACCCCAGGCCGCCCAAAGGGGAGTGTGCGCACTTAACTGCTGAGCCATCGGGCAGGCCCCTCTTTTTTTTTTTTTTTTTTCTGGGAAAGATTGGTCCTGAGCTAACATCTGTTGCCAATCTTCCTCTCTCTTTTTTTTCGCCTCCCCAAAGCCCCGGTGCACTGTTGCATATCCTTGTTGTAAGTCATTCTAGTTCTTCTATGTGAGCCGCTGCCACAGCATGGCTACTGACAGACAGTGGTCTGTTTCCACCCCGGGAACTGGACTTGGGCAGCTGAAGGGGAGCACCTGGAACTTTAATCACTAGGCCATCAGGGCTGGCTCAATATGATTCTTTTATTTAATACACCTTCCGTATTTAAATTTTGCTAATTGTCCCCAAAATGTCCTTTATAGCTATTTCCAAGGATCCAATTTGAGATCACGTGCTGCATTTAGTTGTCTTGTCTCTTTCGTTCCTTTAATCTGGAAAGGCAGTTAGTTACTCAGCCTTTCTTTGTCTTTCATGACCTTGACGTTTTAGAAGAGCATTAGTGAGTTACTTTGTAGAAGTCCCTAACTTTGGGTTTGTCTGATATTTTCTCATGATTAGAGGCAGGTTCTGCATTTTTGGCAGGAATACCACTGAAAGAAAGTTGTGTCTTCAGTGTATCACATTGGGAGGCACATGACATTGGTTTGACTCAATATTTGTGATGTTAACTTCGATCTTTGATTAAGGTGGTGTCTGCCAAGGTACTCCACTGAAAAGTTACTGTTTTTCCTTTTGTAACTATTAAGGTTTCTTGTGGGAAGATATTTTGAGACTATCTATTCTGTTCTTTTCACTTACTGTTTTTAGCCTTCATTCTTCATTCTTGCCTGAATCAATTATTATTATAATGGTTGCAAAATGGTGACTGGAAAACTGTTAGTCTGCTAGGGCTGCCATAATAAGGTAACAGGTTGGGTGGCTTAGCAGAAATTTATTTTCTCCCAATTCTGGAGGCTAAAAGTCCAAAATCAAAGCTTTGGCAGGTTTGGTTTCTGCTGAGACCTGTCTCCTTGGCTTGCAGATTGCCACCTTCTGGCTGTGTTCTCACAAGACCTTTCCTCTGTGGGGGTGTCTTTTCCTTTTCCTGTAAGGACACAGTCATATTGGATTAGGGCCCCACCCTAATGGCCTCATTTTAACTTAACTCCTCTTTAAACGTCTTATCTCCAAATATGTGACATTCTAAGGTACTCAGGCTTGTGAATTCAACATATGAATTTGGTGGTAGTGGGGGACACAATTCAGTCTATAACAGCTTCTTTAGAATATGACATTTGAGCTGAGACCTGAAGCCAGCCATGCTAAGACTAGTGGACAGGCATTTCAGGAAGAGGGAACAAGTACAGAAGCCATGAGACAGGAACAGGATTGATGTTAAACTTAAGCCAGTTGGTAAGAGTGTAAAAGGGTACATCCACTTTGGAAAAAAAAGTCGGGCAGTTTCTCAAAAAGTTAAATATACATCTACTCTCTGTGCCAACAATTTCATGCCTAGGTCTTTACCCGAGATAAATGAAAACTTATGTTCACAAATATACTTGCATAAGAATGTATATAGTGGCTTTTTCCATGAGTCCCAAGCTGGAAACACTCCAATGTTCATCAATAAATAAATGGATAACCAAATTATGGTATTCATATACCATGAAATGCTGCTTAGGGGGAAAAAAAGGGAATGAAGTATTGATACAACAATGTGGATGAATCAAAATAATGCTGAGTGAAAGAAGCCAGGCACAAAAGAGTACATACTGGATGATTTTATATACAATTCTTAAAAATGCAAACTAATTTATAGTGACAGCACATCAACAGATGGGTGAGGAGGGAGGGATGGAATACAAAGGTACATGAGGAAACTTTTTGGGGTGATGGATATGTTAATTATCTTGAAATTATCTTGTGATAGGTTCAAGGGGGCAATATGTTAAAAACACTTCAAGTGTATACTTTAAATAGGTGCAGTTTATGTATATCAATTTTACAGCTTTACCTCAATAAAGCTGTAAAAAAAAATGGGGGAAAGAGTATGTACTATATGATTCCATTAATATAAAGTCAAGCAATACTGAGATATGGTGGCAGAAATCATATCAGTGGTTATCTTTGGGGTGGGAATTGACTGCTGAGGGTACAAGGGAATTTTCTGGTTGATGGGAATTCTATTGTATGTAAATTATATTGCAATCAAGTTGATTTAAAAGGTGAAAAAACAAAACTCTGCAGCCATGAACACCTGTATCTTTACTTAGAGCTTCTAAGGACTAAAGGCTGCATCGTGCTCAGGCAGGGCTGGCCCTATTCCTCCAGTCGCTGGCCCCATAGGTTGAGCAAGTCCAGTGGAGTCTCTTCCGGCTAATTTCCCCACCTGAATTTTAAGAAAGATGGGAACTGAAGTTCTAGGAGAACCACAAGGAGTGTAAATTCTTCTATATGCTGTGAGAAGGGCTGGGCTACTTGAAAAATTATTGATGGCTTGACCAATTTTTTTCTTTATTTTGATTTTTCTTGTTACAGAAATAACCTATTTTTATTATTATGACTAATAGCCAACTTTTGTTAAAGTTTTCTATCTGTCAGACACAGGAATTAATGAAGAATTCTCATGCCAATCTTGTGAGGTAGTTATCATCATTAGCCCCATTTTACAGATGAAGAGACTGAGGGAGGAGGTTGCACAGCCAGGATTTGAACTGAGACCCCAGACTCTTCACACCCCCTTACCCCGCTCAGCCTTCCCCAGGGTAAGTGTTTATGTGAACATTTATGACAAACATGTCTACCTCCATATCCCTGGAGCCTCAGACAGCACTGGCCGCATGACTAGAGCTCAATATTTAGTGACAGAAGAAGTGAAGGAAAAAGGGAGGGCAGCAGTGAGGTTTCAGGCCCCTGCCTTTGAGGGACTGACATAGAAAATGAGACATAATGGAATTCTGTGATTCCAAATAGTAGTCCTACAGAGGACAGTAAAGCAGTTAGAGGGATAGCAAGGGATGGGGTAGGTGCTATTTTAGAGTGGATAGTTTGGGAAAACCTCACTATGGAGGTGACTGTTGAGCAGAGACCTGATTGAAGTAAAAAGAATCAGCCAAGTGCGTGTCTACTGGAGGAACATTCTATGTCAGAGGGAAGAACAGTGTGAAAGCCCTGAGATGGGAGCGTGCGAGGAGGCCGATGTGGCTGGGGCAAAGTGCACGGGGGAAGAGTAGTGGGAAATGAGGAGAGAGAGATGTGGTACGGCCCTGGCCTGAGGCAGGGGCTTGTGGGCCATGGTGAGGACTTTGGATTTACTGAGCATTTACAATATACCAACCATGATGGTAAGCGACGTAGCTGGAGAGAGCTGAGCCTCAGATCCGTTGTTATTCTGAGGACTGCCCCAGAGCGAGAAGGCAGAATGGCGATGCTCCTTTCTATCCCCGTAGTTCTGGGGGTGAGAACATCCAAGGGGCAGCCAACCTTGGGGGTGACTCCATGGGGAAGCAGGGGGCTCCGGGCTGGGATGGAAAGGTTCGGTGGAGTGGGGGAGTGTGGAAGGGATGGAAGCTGGGAGAGGGGGCTGAGACTGGCTGAGACTGCTCTAGCGGGCTGCGTGAGGGGTTAGCAGGGAATGAGGAGGGAGGGTTGGGGGCTATGGCAGAGAATCACATGGAATGGTGGTTGTATCAGGGGGAGCTGAGGGTGGGAGGGGGTTAAGGGAAGAGAGGCTGATACATGGGTATAGGAGGAGGACTTCAGAGGGCCCTGGAG